TGCTTGCTTTAGGATTTCATAGGTTTCCGTAGCCGTTTTGGCGAGTCTTTGGCAAAATTTGATGCACCCGCCATTCCGAAATCGCAGGAGGGTCGGTGTAATGCACTACCAAAACGCCCGTAACTAAGAAACAAATGCTAATTCGATGATGCCGGCTGGCACACTGATTCACTATGAATGTAGGCCGCACCCCCTAGCGGCAGAAGCTCGTACTACATCCGGTTCGCCCTCTATTGACACAGTCTGGAAACTTTCCGATCGCACCTCGTATCCTCTGCATTCGAAACCTTAGTTCAAGCGGCACAGTGAACGAGCGTGTGCCGCCGACAGTCAGTGTAGGCCACTTACCTGTTTTCACCTGATACTTGAGCGTGAGGCAGCAGTCGTCGATGAGCTGCTGCAAGGTTACCGGTCTGTCTGGTAGGTCCAAGTCCAGCAGACGCCTCATGTCGGCCGGGTGGTGGAAGTCCAATACCTTGCAGTTCCTGTCATTCGTCTGTCGTACGAATTCCAGGAGCACTTCGATCAACTTGAGCAGGAATTCTCGAGTGATGGGCACGCCTTGCTGCGTGTTGTAAGGCAGCAGATCTACAACATTACAGTTCCGCCTGTCACTCTCCAGCAGACTCATGAATTATGACATGTGACCCTACAACATTAGTTGGTTTTGTGTGTTTCCATTTCAAAATATCGTACGTGCATTTCGGATGTCTTACGGGTTTGTTATTGATCGTACCTGAATTTGAATGTTCGCGGTGATTCGTTGTTGGTATTGATCTTAATTTTCTGTGCTGGTACCGTATAAATGTCGACTGTGTTACCGACGTTTCAGAGTAACATACTGCCTCCATCATCAGGCAAGAATTTTCCTCCGCAACGTCGCCAGTACTGGTTAGTTCCACACGGTGCCAACACCGAACAACAGGATCAACCTCTTTATTGTTATTTAATTTAATTCTTAACTTTAACCCCCGCCCCAAATTGTTTTGTTGTAAATGATGCAACAGATAGGTTTAGATGTTCAGATAACCACGTTTCTGGACTACATGTGGCGAGGAACATATGTCTGAATAGAAAGTTCGGGAGATGGGACTTTCTTCTCTAGGATCACTTGTCTGAAAATAACGGGAAAAAAATAACATTCACCGAGTCCAGCAAATAACAATTTAACATATTTCCGTCCATTGACAGGACGTGTTTTGTTACTGTTCATCTTTAATTAAGACCCACATGAATATACTTAAATGTGCTGTATTAAAATTTTGCAAAAAAATTAATTTTAGCATTTACGTGTTAAAACGACTTAAAAACTGTTAGTAGTAACATCTGTTTCGTTCATGTTGGTAATTCTGGTACTTGCATTCGATGACATGAAAGTGTATTAGAATATGGAAGTTTTATTTTATATTTCGTTTCTGGGGTGCCCCGCTAGAAACATTAAAGGCACAAACCGCTGCTGGTCACCGCAAACATTTCAGGGGTCAAATTACAATAATTCGTCACCGTTCTTGGGTAAAACACTTGTAATTTTTCATGTTTCTAAAATATGTCATAATTGAAGGGAGGTTTATATTTTAACGAAGATATGTCGTCATACGAAGCTATTTTGTCTGTGTTTCTCGGTAGGCCACAGCCGCCCATGGGAGCAGGGTTGAATGATGGGGAAAACAACACTAAGCAGTCCCTTGGGCTAGTTGCGCTCTCGTGGGATGGTCCTGTGAAGTCGAGATAAGACCGTCTATCATTTTACAATAAGCAACAAGATGGCGGAAACGCGTATAGTCTGTCGTAATCAATAATCTTATTGAATAATTCAATTCTATCTGTGGCCTTGACGTAAATGTTGAGCTGCAATGTAAAGAGGTCTGCTGTTGTCAACGGACGGACTGTTACGAGTAAGACAGAATCGGATCATAAACGTAATGAAGGCATTCGACGATAACTGAGAATAATAGTTGTAAATACAACCATAAAACTCTTATGAGGAACTTGTAGAACATTGGAAAGAATACCTCGAAATAAAATCATGCAGCTGCTGTATTAATATGTATCTTATAGCAGAAGATGCCAGAGACTTCCACAAAAAGTTAGAAGTAAGACTTTTAATTCTTACGTTACTAACAGGATTGTGCTGTTAATAAGTAAGGTAATAATGACCAAAGGTGGAAGGTAGTAGCTGTACTAGTAATTATAGTATTACGTTAAGTGGTTATTTTGCTAAACTTAAGTTGAAGATTTCTGTCTTCTGGGTTGTTGCGCTGTGTAGTCTGGTCGATGTTTACCAACGTTTCAGAGGTCATACTGCCTCCGTCATCAGAGTATGAAGATTTCTGTCTTCTGGGTTGTTGCGCTGTGTAGTCTGGTCGATGTT